CTCTTACTTGATGTGCCCTGAGTCTTGGTGAGGCAGGAGGAGGTGGATAATAAAGATACCTTCTCTTGTTTTCTTTTATTTGTTGTTGTTGTTTTAATTTTTTGATACATATATATTTATTTTGGTAGTGTTGCCTCCCTAGGTCAGGGCTCTACCACTGACCTAAGTCCCCAATCTCAAGATGTCCCATCTAGGGCTGAGCACTTAGAGTCACTTCACTTAGTCTCAACCCTTCGGCTCACGTTTCTCTTTTCTTCTTTGCATATGCCAGGGTGGATATGGGTACTTTAGCCATAGCTTGGCTTCACAATCACTCTCAATCCTTCATCTTCCTCCTTGTTCATCCCAGGGAGAAACCTTTAGAAGGAGAGAGGCTGGAGACACCTGCTGGCTCACAGCTGGCCTGCTCTGGTCAGTGCTTCCAATAAATTTATCCTTTCTTCAATCTTAATCTTCATTTCCTTCAGAAGCCTATTTTAAAATTTTAAGGTTTTGTCCTATATACACCTAAAGTCTCCAGGCTTGAAGATGAGTGTTAGACTTATGAATATATTCTATAGTACATACAATTTTCTTACATGTACTTTAAAAAAACCAACAACATTGGTCAGGTAAAATAACGTCACAATTTATTTGCATTTTTAATTACATGTATTACTACTTTTTTGTTTTCTGTTGAAGTGACTTGAGGACATTTTCTTATCTAAGAGAAACGGTAGGTGGAAGAGTCTTCCAGGGGCAGGAAAAGACCTTGTGTCTCAGAAGGAACTTGTTAAGAAAGTGGGTGACCGAGCAAAGTGGCATTCTAATTACCACCCCCGAGGCAGGAGGCTGTGGGGGGGGGAGAGGGCTCATCCTGAAGCTGTGCCCACACCACCATCCAAGGAGTACCATTGCCGGAGAAATGGCTGCGGAGACTCCCTTCTGTTTTGTCTCTTATTTGAACCTTATATTTGGCCTTTTGTTACTAGAAAAACATTTTATCGTCCTTCTATTCAGATAAGTATCCAGGAGCTTAGAACAGGAATTATTCAAGTCAGTGTTTGGCAGAACCCTGCTGTGATTGGTGTTGAAGCCACAGCTCTAACCTCCCCCTGAATCTTTGTATGTTCCTGTGTGTGCACCTGTGTGAATGTGCAGATAGAAGCCAGATTCAGCCTCAGCTGTGGTTACTCACACTCTAGCCACCTTGTGTTTTTTGTTTTTGTTTTATGAGACTGTGTCTTTCAATAGCCAGCAGTTCCCCAAATAGGCTCATCTGGTTGGCCAGTGGGCACTGGGGATCTTCCTGTCATCACCCACCCAGAGTGAGCATTACAAGCTTCTTGTCACCACAGTTAGCTTTATTCATGTGGGTTCTGGGAATCGAACTCAGCTCCTCATGCTTTCAAGGCAAACACTTTACTCACTGAGCCATTCTTGCAGCCCTTCCCTAAGTCTTTAACAACAATAACATAAAAAACCCTACTAACTTTGAATTTCAAGGAAATTATGAATACAGAGGCAAGAACAATATCAGGACTGTTGAGGTGGTGTTAGGCATTTCAAAGACAGGCTTGCTGAGAGTCTGCTGCTGACTCAATGTTCCACAAATAACAGTTGGCCTATGAGTCATGATACTGAAAGCCTCCTGGCACAATGCCTGAGGCCAGAATTGTGGCATTTTGGGTAATGTTTGCCCCAATGTGGGCTGAGGGCAGCTAGAGGCCTGGAAAGGTCTTCTGGTGCTGTGATGACCTCAGGTGTTGGGAGGCCCAAAGATATCAGTCATTGACTCTCCCCATTCTTCACTGACACCTCTTTTCAGCCTGTTTTCTTAGTCGTGACTCATAGTGATGAAAAATTCTCATAAGAATAATTTTCCATTTGGGTTCCAATTATGTACTGACATGAGGCTCATTAAACAATGCATTCATTAGAGAAAACCAAAATCTGATCGTCATGGGTTACTGCACCTATTTCACATACTGCCAAGGGAAGCCTTAAGCTGATTCAAAGGGTGCAAAATATTCTTGTCATTTTGGTTGTCATCACTAATGATACATAATAAGAATCTGGAACAAGTGCCAGGAGGTGGCCATGATCTGAGACAGGATGGTTGGAGCAGATCTTCCATTCTAGAGAAAGGCTGTCATATCCTAGCAATGATTGCCTTCATTCTGGATCTGGTCTCCAGTAAGGTTTTTGTTTTGGAACTTTATTTTTTTCTGATAGAAGCATTTTGTGGAACAATGACGATAAAGTCTTTCATTTTGGTGGAAAGCTGGTGACCGAGTTGAGGGATCCTAGCCACTACCCCTGCCAGCTTAATATTTATACTGATAAACTGGCAAGGAAAGTCAGTAGCAGCCTGTTTTTGCCATTCTCCTATACTGAATTACAATCCGTTTTACTCTTACCAAGTTGCGAATGCTATCTTATTTTATAGAGTGCCTTGTGTGTGTAGTACAGTTTTCGGGTAAATTGAAATCTCTTTTTCAATACAGCCTCACTCTTGTGTGTATGTGTCTGCAAGTGCATGCACACACAGACACCTCTGAATTAATATTAAAGGGAGGTAGTCGCTCTGCATGTCATTTGTCCTGCATAGAGACCTGACCACTACAGGGAGATGCAGACTATCCTGACCCCACCGCTTTGTGTTATTTGATTTCTTAAATTAATTTTTTATTTGTAATCTCAGATTTTGTTGACCTTGCAGAACCCTTTAAAAGAGCAGTCAGAGAGCCGACTCCAGTGTGTAGACAGGCCAATGGAGAATAAGAAATAATAACTTAGTCTGATAAGTCAAATTTTAGATTCATATTTTAAAGGTCAGAAGTGCAAATTCCATTAAATTTGGACTTATGGTCAAATTTATTTTAAATCTTTCCCCCCTCTTTAGTTCAGAAATATCTAAGATTATTTATGATTCAGAAAATTTTGCACACTGGAGGGGTAAAAAAACTGAGTTGTAAAATCAAATATAATAGTCATGCTTAAAAATGAGATTTAATTCACTGAGCCTTCATTTGTCCTCCACAAAACAAGTTGTGTCTAGAGGTGAGCAAACACATTTGTGATTGAAAAGTACTCATTTGGGAAAAAAAAAACCCAACAACAATATTGGGAACAGTGTTTCTGAGAACCTCTTGATGTGACAAAGTGGTCCGGTTTTTTCTTTAGCTCTAGGATCTGGGAGGTAATTGGTGTAGAGAATGAAGTAGGGAGAGTAGACGACATGGAGAACAGCATTTACTTCTTCCATTGGCTGTGACTTCTGTGTCTCCACTTTCCTGGCTCCCCTCATCTGTGGATGAGGGGAAATTTAGGTGAGTCCTGTTTCCACCCACCTATATCCCTATCCCTCAAAACACATGCTTGCTGAATTCTGTCCCTCTTTGATCCTCAGTGAATTGCTGAATAGGTATCTATCTTAGTTTCCTGGTTTTCTCAGAAGCCTAAGTAATTCATTCTAGGCCAGTCAGAAGATGAACGAATGGATAGATGAGGTAGGTGGGGCTGGCCTTTAAAGACCTACAGCAGTTGGATAGGTAAAACTATTCAAAAGACTTCATTACCCTGAATATAGACATGATCATGATCACCAGAAGATTCTGTCTTGACTCCAATGACACCCAATGCCCCCTAAATGACCTTCAGTATTGAACTCTGCAGATAGCTTCATGGCTATGCTTTGATATCACTGATTTCCAAGGACACAGTCAGGATGAGGACACCTGTCCCATTCTGTTTCACTTAACTATTTTTTTTAACATGCTCTGGTGTCAATGAGATTGAATCTTTTTCTCCCAGAGAAATGTCCTTGAACTCGTAAGGTGTGTACTTGAACTCATTGTTTAGCTTGAAGTAGATTGGGTTGAGGATAAGAGAAATCCAAGTGTCCTCTGAGACCATCAACTTAACGAAGTCTTGGCAGTTAAAACACATGTTGTTATAGCCATGCAGACTCCATTTCCCTGGAGCTCTCTCTTTTGTCTTTCTTTACTCAAGAAATGGTGACCTCACTCTGTTGTTGCCTTCTTTCTGTCTGTGGAAGAGTCTTTGACTAGAGTATTGTACACTATTGGATAACATTGAAAACCCAAGACCAGATCATTGCTTTTACTGGTCATTTTACTTCTGGATTCTTAACTTCAACATTTCATATCTCTGTCTGAAAGATGTATATGGACTTAGATGATTATATGAAGCATAGGCTCATTGCCTCTTTTTCAATCATGAAAATATTTTCACAAGATTTCAGTTGGAATTTTTTAATGTAAGTAAGCCTTTGTTGTTTATATTTTTTAAATGAAAAACAAAGGTTTTTTTGTATATAGGTATTTTGTCTGCATGTATTTCTGTACACTATGTGCATGGCTGGTGGCCAGAAAGGCCCAAAAGTGGACAGAATAGCTGTCTAGAAGTGTGGAGACCTCTGCAGTAGAGATGTTTCCTGACAACATTCTCAGTATTTTAGTTGGTGGAAGTGAGTGGGTTTGTTAATACATTCCAAGAGGTGTCACCAGGATGTTAGGTCTAATACAAAGGTGGACAAGGAATGGCTATGAAAGGGGCTAAAAATAGCCCCCAATTAAATATAATTAGGCGCTGGACCTTCAACATTCTAACTTCTCCATAATCTCTGAAGTTTTAAGAAATTAATCAGCCTTCTAGAAGGTTCTCCATAAGGTACAGAGTTATTTACCCGACTTTTCATTCACAACTGTTTCCTTTTGGTGGTGGGGTTGTGTTCCTGAGCCTTTTGTTTGCTGTACAATTATTGGTAACTTAATGACAAGCCTACGTGTGTGCGCGCATTTGATCTCTCTCCATGTAATTGTGCCTGATCTGTAACACACACTGTAGACTAGGCTGTCCTTGTCCTTGCAGTTATCTCCTGTCTCTGCCTCCTAAACGCTGGGATAACTGGTACTATCATACCTGGGTCCTTTCCTCATTCCTCTTTGTTTCTCTGCTCCTTCCTTCTCTCCCTCATCCTTTCTTTTTGACACAAGGAGATGTGTAGAAAGAAGACAACAAGAGAAGGGAAGAGACCCATTGGTTGAGGAGAGGTGCCCAGAGCAAAGACAAGGAAGGTTTAGGCATTGACAGACATTTGCTTCACAGCATTGCTCCTGAGTTCTTCCTGCCGATTTCTGTAAGATGGAGTTGTCAAACATTTGAGTACATCCACTGATGCCTGGGAGACCAAGAGTACACGGGGACATCCTTCTTCCTCCCACAGATCTACTTCTGATGGAAAATTCACTTAAGGTACTAGTAACCAGTGGTAAAACAGTTTGTTTTACTTCATTTGTTCCCCTACCACAAAGAACACAGGGAACCTGTAGTATAAGATAAGGAATTGTGAGCAAAACGCAAGCCTTGATTCTTAATTGATCTGCTAGTCTCTGTGGGTTTAAGTTAACCATTATGAGTGAGTCCCTGCTGTATTGTTTTCTAATTAAGGCATATATATGTCTAATGAGATTTCAGAATAATAAGGCATTTATAATACTTTAATGAAGGGCATTCTTTTCATCTTTATTTACTTAGCAGCATAATCAAGACCAACTAAGAAAGGTTAGCCACGGTCAAAGGAAATTGATGAAGAGTGGCTATTAAGGGATGGAGCATATGTACGCAGACTATGGTTAAATAACGGTAAGTAGGACGTGTTTATTAAAATGATGCAGGGATTTTATACCTTCATTCTTGATGTCTCTTAGTACCTGACATTATACTGCTACGGTTTCCATGGAGACAGCACACACTCTTCCTTTCAGCTGACCTGAAGTTCAAGCCCTGCTGTTGCAATAGAAATTCTAAAAAACCACTTCCACCTTTATTAAAAACAAAAATACAAAATCTATGCAAAAAGGAAAAGGAAAAAAAGAGGATGAGAAAATCCATTGACTATATTACAGAAGAGGAGAGAGAATGTGTGCTGTTTTCATTAAGACAGAATCAAGAAACAACTTACTATGCTGGAGGTTGAGAGTGTCTGTCATTTCTTTCCCTAAATTACCTTAGAATTGATGCCCCTGAGCCTGCTTTAACATCTGCACCTTTCATTTCTAATTCAATACACTCTACTATTTTTAGTTTTCTGGAAATCTCTCTCTCTCTCTCTCTCTCTCTCTCTCTCTCTCTCTCTCTCTCTCTTTCTCTCTCTCTCGATTTAAGAACTTGCTTCTGTATGGCTCACACACACAAATGTTGACTTGGTATATGAGTTGACTTTAATAAAGCCAGGTTTACTTTGGGGAAGGATCGCCAAGATAAGATATTTCACAGGAATAAGGGATCAGAAGCTGGATCTCCCATTCACAGTTCTCCTTTGTTTGGCTTCTTATTATTTAAGAAGGTTAAGAAAACGTGACTTCTGAGGGTCTATTCATTGGCTTGCATAGCCAAATGGTCTAAGCATGGCTTGGTTTCCCTAGGGGATTGTTCCTCTACACTCTGACACCTATGTTTATACAATCCCCAGGTCATTTTCTGTAAAATGTCTGAAGCAGTTATTCAGACCCCATTAACCCAACATACAAAAGTAAGAACATGCGAGTGATCTTTTCTAGAAGTCTCTACTTAATGGCATTTTATGCTTCGGTGTTCTGGTTGAGACAGCGTTATACACTGGTAAGACATAGGTCTATAGGGCTGTGGAGATGGTAGGTGATAAATTGTTTGCCATGAACACCAGAGCTTATATCTCCAGAACCCTGTAAATGTTAGGCTTGTGTGGTGGTCTGCCCATAATTCCACCATGAACATTAGAGGAAGAGACAAGAGATTCCTAGAGCTAGCCAAATTGATGAGCCCTGGGTTCAAGGAGACAGTCTGCAACAACATACAATGTGTTGATGGTGACTGAAGAAGACAAGTCCATGTTAACCCTTGGCCCCCCCCATATTTACACATAGACACACAGACACAGACACAGACACACACACACACACGCACACACACAGATACATGCACATAGATACACACACCACAAGACAAACATGTGAACAAAACCTTCAAGGAGGATTATGTCAGTTGGCATTAAACTTAAGATATTGTCTTAGTCAGTGTTGTATTGCTGTGAAGAACACCATGACCATGGCAACTCTTAAAGAAGAAAATATTTAATTGGAGCTGGCTTATACCTTGACAGGTTTAGTCCATTCTCATCGTGGCAGGGAGCATGGTGGCACACAGACAGACATGGTGCTGGAGGAATAGCTGAGGACTCTATGTCTGGATCTGCAGGCAACAGGAAGAGAGAAAACCACTGGGTCTGGCTTGGGCTTTGAAAACCTCAAAGCCCACCTCCATTGACACACTTCTTCCAACAAGGCCACACCTCCTAGTCCCTTCAAGTAGTACCACTCCCTAAGTATTGAATATATGAACATATGGGTGCCATTATTATTCATACCACCACAGATATATATGCAGTTTCTAGGCCAGACTAATTCAGTTCCTTCCCAAGCAAGGCTGCATGGCAGAAGTGTCTAAGGATGTAAAATTCTGAGGAATCACAACGTAATAGTGGGCAGATGCTTAGGAAAGATAATTGCCCTCTGTGAGGTGTCAGCTGGTTTTTCAGTTTAACCCCTTTTAAATTGTAGTCTGTTCTTCAAAGCACACTGTCTCTTCCATAGTTCCTAACACTTTTTAAACCATGCAATAACATTTGATCTGCACTGTATTGATTGTTATATTTGTTGTTGGACCACCACCATCAGCCAAAATGAACATTTTTATTTGTCTGACTTACCCATTCTGTGTATTGTGTTTTTAGCAATGGAAAATAATCTAATCTAAACAACTGATCTGCCAGATTTATGCTAGGAGTCCCATAAGGGATTTCATCTGTATTCTCTGATTCTGTTCTCCATCAGGGGGTGCAAGAGCAAAGGAATCAAGACTCCTCCCCCATGAAGGACTCCTCCCTAGCTCTGGGCAGAGCTCCATCCACTTATTCCAAATGAGCCCCTGTTGTAGTATCTTTGGCCTTGAACCTGACATGCACATGGTTTCCAGAAATAACACAGGAATAAATATTTCTATTGTGTTGCATGTAGTTCCCAGCCAGAAATCTGTAATGACTGTAAAATATTCTCTTTATGAGGTTTTCGCCCATCACAATCTTTGACTTTAATTTTAGATCTAGTTCCCTAAGTCACCCAAAGAATTTGCTCAGCTTTTGTGGCTACATAAAGGACGATAAGCAGCAGGAATGACATTAAAAACGTTGACATCTCTTGCAGCCCAGACAACAGGCAGACAAGCAAAGGGTGGCTGGCGACTGGACATATCACCCATGCCTGTAGTACGTGAGTAAGCTGGCTATTGCCTCCTATTTCCCTCACCATCTGTAGATGAAGGGGTGCCTGTTCAGAGCTTGCTGGTACCATTTCAATTCCTATTTCTACAGTTGAGAAAATGGTCCCTCAGGGAAGCAAGTGACTTCCTTAAAACCCTACAAGAGTCAGATGTAAGCCAAATCAATTATGGAACTCCATGCAAGCAAATCTCTTTGTGTTTTGTTTCATGGGAAGACATATGTCTTAGAAGCAAAATTAATCAATAAAAATCCTAAAATATTTTTTAAAGTCTTTCTGTGATGTAACAGGAAAGAAAAAATAAGAACTAAGGTCACCTTTAATCATCTCTATATCTGCTTGTAGTGGGTAGCCATTCCAGCTTTGATCTGGAAGTTTCAACCCCATTGAGGCCTTGGTAATGGGCATGCCTACAAGGCAGGGTGGAAAGAGGACCCTGAAGACCCGAGATCTGGATGTGCCAGCTCTCTTGGTTCCTGGACCCTGGATGCTGGAGCTAGACCAAGCAGAGTTCTCCAGAGAACACCACCGGACTGCGCCACATCTTTCCCGGACCCTGTATCCTATCGCTTCACTTCTAAGTTACCCCACAAAATAAACCTCCCTTTTAACTATGTAGAGTGGCCTAAATAGTTTCACCAATACCTGCTCTTGCTATTCTGCAAGACTCTATGTCCCTCTCCTCGCCCTTTCTGAAAGTGATCCATAAAACCCATTGGTTGGGTAGGTCGAACAGTCACTTTCCCTACCAGGGGAAGTACTATGAGACTTTCTGGAGAGGCGAGTCTGGTTCATCTGAAGCAGCTATCCAGTGGAACAGGAAGTTGCATCCCCTTGCCCCGCTAACACAGACTCCCAATGCTCTACACAGCAAAGCACTTGAGCCGGTGGCAAGGAAGCATAGGTTGCCACCTTGTCTGACCACTTTCCCAGTGAGAAGTGATTTGGGGAGATTGGCCCATGGTACAGAGAACCTCTAGGTGTCAGAGTGGACACTAGACCACAGTGGTTCCCAGCTCTTTGCAAATGAGGCATGTGTCTGCTTTCTGCCCAGCACACAGTGTACACGCTATAAATATTTACCGAAGGGAGAAACAAGCCTGCCAGTAGATAAGGAACAACCTAGGAAGAAAATGATGTCAAGAGGAAAAGGGAAGGGGCAGCTCGCTCTCCTTCCCCGACTCCCTTTTTGTCTTCTTTTCCTCCGTTTCAGCCCATTGGAATGATTTCATTTACATCAGAGAAACTGATGGACTGAATGATACTTTCTCGGACCCTGGTGATTTACTCCTGTGCTCCATCTCCATTCTCTTCCCATCTCTTTCCTCTCCTCTCTTTTTCACCGAATGCATGAAAGAGTCATTTTCCGTTGCAGGGTTATTCCAAAGGTCGCTGACAGGGTGGCAGTAAAATGACACAGCTAAGTGATACAGATTTTAATGACTTAATGTTCTCGTAATTCCTAATAAAAACATCAGGAGAGACAGGGTGATGTTTCAAAAGACATAAAAATGGAACATGGATCATAGTAAAAGATGTTTGTGCAAAATTTCCATGCCAGAGAATGGAGCCAGGCAGGACGAAGTTTGTACAGGCAGAGCCATAAAATAGAGGCTATTAGTAAAGGGGGGGGGGAAGGGGGATGTCACATCAGAGAAAAAAAAATTGAAGATATGTCAGAAGGAGAAGAAAAAATATACGACAAAAGGAAATAAAGGTGGACTGGCTTCTTAACAAGGATAAAGAGCAAATAGGAAATTATGGGGAAAGGAAGGAAGGCTTGGCCTGTCTTATGAGCCAGGCTTGGCGACAAAGGGTAATAGCAGAAAGAATACTTAAGGTAATAATAGTCAATGAGGAGAGACAGCGCAGGGAAGCAATATGCCTCAGAATATCCAGAGTAGCAAAATCGCTGCCGAACACAAAAGGAGAGGATGGAGGTAGTGCAGGCTGGCTCGCAATTATTTCTGAAACCTCATAGAAGACTATTAGGTTCCTAGGAATTTGAAAAGGGGAAGGCAGCATGAAATTTTTATTTTTAAACCATGATGAAAATGTGTTAAAGTAGGTCACAGAGAAGAATGCATGAATTTGGTGGGCTTCTTTGGCACTTGGAAAACCCCAGTGAAATGAACAAAATTGATGAGTGAGCCTGGCTGGCTTGTGTGCCTGGCTCACAGGTGGGCCTCTAAAAGCCGTGGGTCAGGTGAACACCCATTGTTTCCCCTCTGCACACAGGGACCACACATTGGGCACCAACTCATGTTTTACTACTCCTCAGATGGCTATCGTCCATCCTAGCCCCACTGTGGCATGTGGGGACAGGGATGCTTTTCTCTTCTCTTTCCCTCTGCATGAACATGGGAGGGCTCTGCTTCTCCATCCTAGTGCAGAGACAGGAGCTTGTTTAAGTAGAAGAATCAACTGGCTGAAGTAAGTTCACATGTTCCTTTATATCCAAAAAATAATAATAATAATAATAATAATGTGCTCATTGAAAATGTGAGCTGCTCCGAGGCTTACAGGTCAGAAAGTAATCCTGTTCATTACTCTCAATTCCCAGGACGAAGGGGACCCTAGGCTTTGAAAAAGCTACATGAGAGCCATAGTGTGGGTCATGAGTACATGGAGAGGAGTGAACTCTGTCCAAGAGCTTTTCTGTCCCTATATGCAAAGTAGGCAAGGCCAGGCAGACAGGCTTAGGTTGGTTACTCTGACCGGGTTTGGGTTTGCTTTTGGAAGCTAGCTGTGCCTAGCCCTGGGGTTATTAGGATGATTATGCAAGGACAGCATGGGCTGTGGGCTCTGGATTGGTTAGTTTGTGTTTGAAACTGCCTCTATGAAGGATCACTTCTCCCAGGAAGAGTAGGGTGTGGTGATATTGTGTTCCCCACAATATTGTACATCCTAATAAACTGATCTGGGGTCAGAGAACAGAACAGCCACTAGATATAGAGGCCAGAAAACGGTGGCACACATGCCTTTAATCCTATCACTTGGGAGGCAGAGATCCATCCAGATCTCTGTGAGTTTAAAGCCACACTGGAAACAGCCAGGAATGGTGACTCCTTTAATCCCACAAAGTGATCCTTTAATCCCAGGAAGTGATGGCAGAAAGAAGAAAGGTATATAAGGTGTGAGGACCAGGAATTAGAAGCTTTTGGCCTGGTTAAGCTTTCAGGCTTTGAGCAGCACAGTTCAGCTGAGAGTCATTCGGATGAGGACACAGGGGCTCCCAGTGTGAGGAAACAGATCAGCTGAGGAACTGGCAAAGTGAGGTGGCTGTGGCTTGTTCTGCTTCTCTCATCTTCCAGCATTCACCCAAATACCAGGCCCAGGTTTGTTTTTATTAATAAGAACTGTTAAGATTCGTGCTACAGTAGTGTGTGTATGTGAATGTTTACTGCCCCAGATTCCTTGGTGGAGATTCCAATCTCCAGGATAACGGTATCAGAAGTCGAGGCTTTTGAGAGGTGATGGAGTTGTATGGATAAAATCCTTATGAGGAAGATGAGTCTGTTGAGAGCAGCCAGAGGCATGCCCACTTCTGCCATGTGACGTTAGATCATGGAGATGGTCATCCCTGAAACCGTCAGTCATCACTAGAATTCTATCACGCTGCCACCCTGTTCTTGGACTTCCAGGCTTGGCAAGAAACACATTCCCACTGTTTACAAGCTACTCAGCATATGCTGTTTGGTGACTGCAGTGCTGAAGGGCTGATTGGATTGGGGTAGGACATAAAGGAAGTGGGACACCAAGGCAGGAGGAAGCAACGGAGTTGTCTTCAGCAAGGTGTGGCCAGAAGATGAAGGTAGGGCAGAGGTGCCAGCACCAGATTTTTCCAGAAATTTTTAAGTAGGTAAATATGGTGGGCATCCAACTCACCAGATTGTGAGAAGCAGGGAAAATACATCCAGCCCCAATGGTTGGAGCCACACAGCAGCTAGAGGAGAGATGTCTCCTTAGTGAAGCACGCAGCTGTGCCCCTGCTAACCAACCACACTTACCTGGAGAATTCGCATGGGTGAGAAGGAAGCTGTGGTTGCCAGAGGCTACAGAGAGGCTTTTGGAGGCCACTGCGACATCACTTAACCAATCCTTCTTAATGGTCCACTGTACCAACTGGGAGAATTCACTGCCCAGCATGCTACAGAGTCTCAGACATGTTCCTCATTCGTTGTGAACACTTTTCTGCCTATTGATTGTGGTGATATTTTATTTGTGCATTAATAAATAAAGCTTGCCTGGAGATCAGAGGAAAAAGGCCAGCTATTATAAGTAAACAAAGAAGTCAGGCAGCGGTAGCACACACCCTTAATCCTATCACTTAGCGGGCAGGATCTCTGTGTGTTCAAGGCCACACTGGAAACAGAGCCAGGTATGGTGGCACATGCCTTAATTCCAACACTAGTTAACCATGGAGGTCTGGAGGTCTGTACAGACAGAAAGTGACAGAGCTGTCTAGGAAGAGCGAGTGATGTAGATGGATGGAGAGAGCAAATCAGATGGCAGAACAGCAAGGCATTTGTGCATGGGTAGACAGGAAGTAACTCGCAGTTGGAAGCTGCAGTGTTGGTGAAGTAAGGTCGGCTGGTGGCTATCCCTATTTTTCTGATCTCTCTAAGGCTTTCACCCCCATGTTTGGCTCTCTGTTTTTTTATTTAATAATATCATTTAGAAATTCATCTACAACTGATGTGTTAATTTTTCTCTAACATTGGTTCAACTCATGTACATATAAGACCAGCTGATTAGCAATATAAGGCTATATTTTTATATGCCTGACCACATTTATCTTTAAAACAAAAGAGTAAGGGAGTTATTAATAGGCAGTTAGTACTAATACTGCTAATAAAATCCTACAAAGTAATCATTGTTTATTGTTATTTTCTATTTTAAAGGAGAGGAAAATAATACTAGAGAAATTACATAATTAGCCTAAGGTGATACAATTGGCAGATGATTAAACCAGCACTGGCCTCCAGGTTCCTCGGACCTGAATCCTAATCCTAAGCGAGTTCTACCATAACTCGCTGCCAAGACCTCACACACCACAGATGTTCAACTCATTGAAATACTTAACCAAAAATATGCAAATAACAGAGACTTCTGGGTCCTACAAATAGTTTCTACCAGCCCCAGTGCCCATTTAAGGATTCTTTCTGATAGGTAGCCCTCCAGCCTGACCTTGGGAGAGAGGTGACATTGATGGTATGAACAGGATTGCAGAGTCATATCCTGAGCCCAGGGCCACCATTCAAGACGACTGTTTCAAGCTGTCTTACCCGCTACCTGCATCTAGTCTCTCTGCTTTGTATCCTGTTGAATGGCTGGCTGAGGCTAAAAGGCTGCTACTGTCTCTGACACAGAGGAAGGAAGCCACTTGCTCAACCTCCCTGAAAGCAACTCTGGACCTTAGACCTTAAGAAACAAAAGGAAGTCTCATGAGCTGCTTCTGGGAAATACGTTTCACTTTCTATTGAAAGAGATGGGTGCAGGAGGAGACATCCTGATAAGATTAT